GTTCCACGACAGTCCACAAGCTCTCATTTCCTCCTCGCACGACCTCTTCCATGTCACCCTCGGACGTCCAACTCGTCGCTTCCCATGGGGATTCCACTCGATCAACTGGCCTGACGCGTGATGTCCCCAGTCGGCCTTCTCAGTGCATGTCCAATCCATCTCCACTTCCTCCTGCATATTTGTTGCATGATAGGTTCTTGGTTGGTTCGTTCCCAGAGCTCCTTGTTGCTTATTCTTTCTGGCAATCCATCTGATCTTCAGTAGCGAGTGAGCGTAGGCGGCAGTTATTGATGAATGTCTGTAGTTTATTGGAAATCCCTTTCGTGACGCGCCAAGTCTCTGAACCATACAGAAGCACTGACTTGACTGGGTAGGTGTTGAAAATCCGTATCTTGTTCCACATGGTGAGTGCAGAAGATCTCCACACTGGTTTCAGGCTAATGAAGGCCTGTCTTGCTTTTCCGATTCTGACTTTGACATCTTCGTCTGTGCCTGTGCCGCCTGTAGTTGAAACAGTGCTTCCTAGATAGTGAAGGAGGTTACTTCCTTCAAGTTTCTCCCGTTGACGGTGATTGGAGTTTGTTGTTGTTGGTGGTGGTGCGGTATCTTCATCACCTCTGTCCTCGCTATATTCACCTGAAGTCCCGTCTTCGCTGCCTCTTCTATCAACTTGTTAGTTTTTGCCTGCAGATCTTCAAGTTTATGTGACATCAGGCACAAGTCATCGGCGAAATCCAAGTCTTCTAGGTTTTTTCCGTAGTCCAGTGTATCCCCCCTCTTCTCGCTGCCCACTGTTTGCTGCATGATCCAGTCCACCACAATAAGGAATATCTTGGGGGATAGTAGGCAAACTTGTTTCACTCTACCTGTCTTCACTTCACTTCAGAGGCATCACTGAGCTTCCCATTGTGAACTACTTGGCATGTGGAGTCTTAATATAGTTGTTGAATGAGGTTGATAAAGGTTTGCGGTACTCCGTAGTAATGAAGCAGCTTCCAAATTACTTCTCGGTCGACGCTGTCAAAGGCCTTCTCAAAGTCGATGAAGTTGATGTAGAGAGCTGATTGCCATTCTATGCTCTGTTCTATGATGATGCAAAGCGTTACAATTTGGTTGGCACATGATTTGTACTTCCTGAAAGTGAATACATCATAGATTACATTTATCAGTTTACCTGATCTTGTAATGCGTTATACTTTCTTAGTTCATCTTTCTAGAATTAGCTGGTTATTATAATTTAGACTAGTTATTTAAAAAGGTAGTACAAAACAGATAGAAGATTTATTGTTTTAATTAATTTGTCCCATCACTTGAAAATAATCAACAGAAGAGAATCGTTTCATTTATGATATTTCAATTTTCATCATCTTTATGTAATTAAGCTATTATTAGACAAAGCATAACCTGATAACCTAATTCTCTACTCGGATGTATTCTATTCAAAGTTATTTAGATTATCTACAGTATGATAAGCTAGACTTAATTTCTACCTACTTGTTCTACTTCATTATTAATTTCCCAGTATTTGTTTGGATAACACTGCCTGTTTGTAGAAGTTATATATCAAGTGATCTTTTATAATTTCGTTGTTTTAATCTCATCTTAATTTAACAAAATAGATAGGCTTTGTTATATTTGAGAATAAATAAAATTGTGCATTTTGTTCATAAATAGGTGTAGGATTTTTATCAGTAGTCTGCTCATTTGTAGAGTATCTTAATTAGTGGATTCCATTGCTAGGCAACACCAATAAAAGATGATGAAGGATATCTAATTACCAAAAAAGAGAAAAAAAGGAAACGATGGGTTGACCACTTCAAAAAGCTCTAGAATCGACCAACACCTGCACTTCGTCCAGAAATACCACCTACAACCACTGAACTACAAGTGAACAAAAGCCTTCCAACGAAAGTCAAAGTCCTGAACGCCATAAGGCTACTGAAATGCGGGAAAACAGTAAGACCAGATGGAATCCCTCTAAAAGCACTAAGAACAGACGCAGGGACAACAGCGGACATGCTCACACCACTATTGCAGAAGGTCTGGAAGGGAGGAAAGGTACCTTCCGATCGATTGGAAGAAGGGCTACCTTGTCGAACTGTCGAAGAAGGGTGACCTAAGTGTTTGTATGAACTGGCGCGGAATCATGCTCCTGTCCCTATCCACCCCAAGCAAAATATTAAGCCGCATCATCCTGGAGAGCCTAAAGGATGCGCTGGATTCAGGAAGTACAATCATGGGCGGACCAAATTGCAACGCTGCGCTACACTTCAAATGCCACATCGTTATCCACTACACCACCGAGCCACAATAGCCACTTCTTGTGTGAGGGGTATAGTTTTAGTATAATTGCTTGTATTATAACGTCGCTGAGTGGACCGAATTGATTGGTATCTATTGCCATATGGGCTGCTGTACGGGTGCCTCGATATTACCTTTGTTCTAATTATAGTAAACATGGATAGTGGATAGGACGAAATGGATTCCACTGCTAGCCACTATTCATCATTACTATAATTAGAGCAAAGGTAATATCCAGGCATCCACATGGGAGTCCATATGCCAATGGAGACCTATCAATTCGTTCTAATCAACAACGGTATAACACAAACAATTATACAAAAGAACATGATAGATTCGAATATCCCGGAATTGAACCTTAACATTCAACTATCATGAATGAATTTTTGATAAATATGGATGAATAACTTGAACAGTAATTGTAAAGTGCACAATACATATTTCATACATCCTTATTTCAAGGTTTTTTTTCCGCTACGGATGGATACTAGTCGCAGAACCATAGAAAAAGTGAAAGTAACTGCTTTGTTCTAATGTGGGACTCTTCAGCAGAACGTACCTATGAACTTGCTAGAGACCAAACTCAGGACCTTCAGGTTTCTTGGCAAGCGAATCGAACACTAAGTGACTAAGTTGAAGTTCAATGATGTACAGTTTCCTACTTCTGAAGATCTTAAGTTCCATACCTGATGTAGTCATGCATGCATACGTAAACGAAACAGTTATCCAATGCTCGAGGGTTTTCAATGGTTCTTCAAATGATGATGAATACCGCCTTGAAATAGATAACTCCTTATAAACGTCAAACTTATAAAAAATTTTCTAACGAAGGTGACTGGTAAATATATTCTTATTTCTTGTAATTAGGAAAACAAGCAATGGTAAATATATGTGTCAGGAGTCTAAGTTACGATATGATTGGTAGAAGAATACGGACTGGTATTATATAAGACTAGGATATTCTGTCATAAGTATACAAAAAACAGTATGGTAATGCTTTTCAACATTATCCCTATAAAACTTATTAAACCTTTGTGAACACTTGTGATGCAACTTGTTCTTTTAGTACACTTTCTTTTTTCAAGATCTATGGAGGGTGACTGAAGAAGCTTAACAGTTGTATTATCTGCTGTTCAATGATAAAGTGATGTTTTGAATAAAAAATTCGATCATATCTTGTTATCAATTATCCGTTACCAACCAATATACCTAGTGTCAACCTATATAAGTAAACAGAAGTAGTTTAATCCAAAAATAAAATTAGTAGGTTTATTACATTTTTGTTTCCTCATTCATTTTTATGTATTATACTTTGCTAAGTGATTAGTGATAGGGCTGGTCTGAGGCAATGGGCGTATCAATATTATGACAAGCATTAAACCTTCTTTAGATTACTTTTAATATCTTAATTAATGAGTTTTCGAAATCTGTACTTTCATGGTGTATTCCTGTTCCTGACAAGAACTGGTTGGGAGGTTTGCGTAAAATTGATTTAAGTTAGTTAAATAATTTTCAGAGAATCACCAGGAACTATATAACACTAAACAACTGTTTCCCCATCTTTCAAGGCTACTTCGATTCAAGAAGACAGTAAATAAATCTTTGAATTGTGATTTTTTTAATGAAATATAAAATTTTCACATTTTGCATGAAAAAGTAGGTAAGATCGATTCTAAATATACTCTTACTGAATTTCGCCAACGATTTATGTTTAATGTCGCACAAGCTCTAAAATTTACAGGCAAAAACTAACAATTTGACAGAAGAGGCAGAGAAGACGGGATTTTTTTCGGGTGAACGTAGAGAAGACAGAGGTGATGAAGATACCCAAGGAACAGTAGCATCAACAACAAGCACCAATCACCATCAACTGGAGAAACCTAAAGGAGGTAGTCTCTTTCACCTAGCTAGGCAGGGCAACATCATTTCAACTACAGGCGGCACAGGCACAGATGAGGGTGTCAAAGCCAGGATTGGAAAAGCAAGAAAAGGCAGATCTTCATTTATCTGAAGTCAGTGTGGAGATCCACTGCATAGCACTCGAAGAAAGCGTGAACAAGATACGGATTTTTAACACCAATTCAGTCAAGTAAGTCAGTGCTTCTATCTGATGGTTGAGAGACTTGGCACGTTATGAAAAGCATTTCCAACAAACTACAGATATTCATCAACAGCTGCCGCCTACACTCACTCGATACTGAAGATCAGATCAGATGGCCAGAAAGAATAAGCAAAGAGGAACTCTGGCCTGACAACGAACCAACGAAGCAAGAACCCATCACCCAACAAATATGCGGAAGAATAAATCTGAGATGGATTGGATTGGATTGTGCATGCACTGAGAATACCGATTGGGAACATCACATGACAGACAGGGCCAGGGCGTCGAGTAGAACCCAAAGGAGAAACTAAAACTTGGGCTTCCGAGGGTGATATGGAGGAGATGGTGTGAGGAAGAAATTAAATCTTGTGGGCAGCCGTTGAGCTAGGTTGAAAAGACTGCAGAGGCGGGGTAAAATGGCGATGTGCTACTGAAGCCTTATTTTCTACTAGGAAAGCAAAGGGTAAGTAATAATAATAAATAATATCCTAATTGATAATTTAATTTTTCCCAAAAGATTATTTCATGCATGATACTGAGTTTAAATTAGTACACATGGATATTTTAATTATAATCCACTTTTTACACTCTATTTAAGTCTGTAGAATCATTATGTGATATTTTGAGTCATTATGAAACATGTACAGAAATATGTTTGGCTCGTAATCCAAATGTTACTCCCAATGGTTGGATTACTGTTGCTTTCCTATTTCGAAGGGTAAGTGATTTTCATGCATCTCGGAGTCGTTGGACATTTCTTCTCTGATCACTAGATAAGCAACTATAGCCCATAACTTTTACTTCATTTTCTGTGAAAACTTAGTGAAAGGAAGACTGTAGCTGTTACAGGGATCTTTTTTGTATTTAAGACAATTGATAAGCAGTAATAATATTGGTTAAACATTCCTTATCATATTAGCAGAAATCTATCATCATATTAAGTGTAAATCATTATTACTGGGTGATGATTAAAGCTGACGTGAAAATTTGGGCAGTGTCCAGCAGATTTTTAGCCTTGTCTTTTATTTCAGTTGGTAGAAACTAGGTGGTCGCGAGTTCGAGTCCTACTGCAGCCGAAACTTTCACTTCATCTCCAGTCATTAACGTATCAATACAAATCTTCCAAGCCACAGCTATCTCAGACAGTCAAACTGATAATTCATGATTCATGATTAGTACTGATACAAAAAGTGAAAATGTTTTCGACTACATACAACATACAACAACGACATACATACAACATTTCTCGAGTTCCTCTATAATACTTATCACATATTGTTCATTCATAAGTTGAAATAGTGTCAAATATACTTTATAGGGGAAAAACATTTGAGTTTTGTCAAAACTATGCTGACTCTAGTTATCACAGTGAGACGATAAATAAGGAGAGGAAGCAACATAAACAGGAAGGTGGACCAGTGAATACAGAAGACAATGCCTAGTCCTCAAAGTTAACACTAGATATCTGACATGGTTTTAGGATTAAAGGTTGACTTCGTTTTTCGGGGCTAGTTAGATAAATACCTTAGAGTCTAAGGATTTGTCGTCCTGTAACATCGTAATACCTTTGTAGATGTCTATATTTTCTAAACTATTCTGTGTATGAAGTATACTGTTGGCGACCTGACCTCGGTTACGCAGTCAATCTCTGTACTACATCCTCCTCTATGCTGGTTAGAAATGACCACTGTAAAAAGTACTCATTAAAGTGTTGACAGTGATAATTGGAATATTTATAATCTTCTCCATCAGTGTATCTGTTTTAGTCATATGATGACTGATAAATTTATGCGTTAATTGATTGCCAGCACTCAACAACTTGAAATCAACAAAAAATCCTATGTTAGATTTAGACGAGGAGAAGACAGTAGCTTTTAAAAGATTGTCTAAAGAAATTTATCGCACTATAATAGACATCATGACTTCAGGTAATCTCTTCCCATATTAGGAAATGTTGACAAACCAGTCAAGCTAGGAGTCTAACTATTAGTATAGTAATTATGGGCAGTGGCTAGCAGTGGAATCCACGATGCGCATCTCATTCTGTTTGAAACTCGTCAGCTGGATGTACCTGCCTCCCAATCAGTGAGTGATGTTGTTCCCATCGGGACTTGGACTCGGGAGTGATCACTTCAAATGCCAGAGCGCTATCCACTACACCACTGAGCCAAGATAGTCGCCTGATGTGAGACGAGTATAGTTTTAGTATAATTGCTTGTATATACCGTCGTTGAGTGGACCAAATTGATCAGTCTCTCTTGGCATATGGGCTCCTGTGTGGATGCCTGGATATTACCTGTGCCCTAGTGATAGTAATGATGTATGCTGGCTAGCAGTGGAATCCAGGAGGTGCATTTCGTCTTATTCGGGACTCGTCAGCTGGATGTACAAGCAGTAACACTAAAACTATACCCGTCTCACATCACGTGGCTATCATGGCTCGGTGGTGTAGTGGATAACGCTCTGACGTTTGGAGTGATCGCTCCCGAGTCCAAGTCCCGATGGGAACAACACCACTCACTGGGAGGCGGACACATCCAGCTGACGAGTCCTAAATAGGACAAAATGCGCATCATGGATCCCACTGCTAGCCACCGCCCATCAATACTATACATAATTAAAACACAGGCAATATTGAGGCATCCACACAGAAGCCCATGTACCAACAGAGACTGATCAATTCGGTCCAATCAACGACGGTGTCATACAAGTCTAACTATTAGGTTGAAAATTTGAATAAAGCAATAAAACATGTAATAGAAACTTTACCTATCAACAACTTTCCTCCTAAAGCTATTCAGGCATTCATGAGGCCTCACGAAGAAGGGAGACATAGTGATGTAAGGAATCATTACGATCAAGTAGGATTTCTGGACCTTTAGAATATTACAGAAAATGAGAAGTTCAGCGAAGATATCTTTTTTTCGATGATTTCAATCTGCATAGCTGTATGACCTAAAAATTTACTTTCAGATAAAAATTTGTTGATTTAAACATTCTACTGACCCTACCTATTATTACAAAATGCTTAAATCTGTCGAAGATTGTGTAATCCTCTGAAAAGTCAACTACTAAGGTCAAATTAGTTGGTCAGATTGAATCAATTTAACAGAGCATGTGAACTTAGTTAGGTTAAGAATGATAAACCTTATTAATATGAATAATCTAGGAAAGAGACTAAACATTACTATGCATGAAGTAACACATCAATATCCAAAATCTTAGGATAAAGTAATACTCCTGAAGCTAATTAATGAATTTTAGTTCATCAATTAATCTGTTAACATGAACAATGGGGATGATTTCACATTGATCCCAGATATATAGAAAATTCTGTTACCGGTAAAATCAAAGTAATAGAAGCTAATTTAGGAAACCTCAGGATTAACTTGATATGACTGTATATGAAAAAAGGTGATCGAAACATCATCCGGTAAGTAATACCGTATGTGCTGCATCAAACAAATTTATTTAATACGGAATTGCGTTCTTCTATAGCACCAAAATTTTTATTCTGTTTTTAATACCCTTAACTGATATCACCTACTTATACAGTAACTATAACCTGACAAAAATTACTGAAAGTAAAGGGTATATCTGCAAACTATAAGTAATAGGTAAAGTTGCACGACACTAGGGGGATAATTCTATTATCAACTGAAATATATCACTCATGTTAGTAGTTTGTTTGTCAGTAACGAGAATACAGCCCAATTTAGAAGTTTATACACGCTAACATGTAATTCAAATGTATAATTTATGATAATCATTTTCCCCATAACTCTTAGGTACCACATTTAAAATGGCTTGATTTGAGGGGAAACAGTTTGGACTTAAATTGTATACAAATTTTATCATTATCTCTTCGAGCTACGTTCACAGAAACTGCTTCCAAACCGATTATCAAAGAGACTCGTTGTAAAAATAGTTATCAGCAACCTACGGGTCATTTTAAATCCTCCAAAAGTAGTAAATTGGCAATGACTAGATGTGTATCTTCCTCAGAACTATATTATAACCTACGTAAATCAACCTTCTCTGGTTCTCGTGGTCTGCATTTGGGTAGTACAGGTGTCAATGGAGAATTACTACAATCACTTATTCCAGGTGTTCGTTTGGGATGTATTACTGATCTTCGATTGCCCAACAATGGAATCAGTGGAAGTGATGCCAAGTTTCTAGTCCCTTTGCTACGTTATGGAGCACATCTAAAATATTTGGATCTTAATAGAAATCTTCTTGGGGTAAGTTATTGAGTCAATTTTTATTATTTCAGTTAGCTTTTAGTTTGTAGCATCATATTTATCCTTTTGTTACAAAGTGTACATTGAAATCGAAATGGCTATGAACTCTCAGTTTTGGTCATACCTATTTACTAGCTTATTTCTTAGTTAAGAATATTGTCTAAAATAGATGAGACTCAGCGATTTCATTTTTCATCTCATCTATAGTTGCTGTCAGTCAGTCTTGATCGGTTAACTGAAATATATTTATCTTGGTGACTAGCTGTGGAATCTGGAACACGCTTTACGTCTTATGTGGGACTTATCAACTGTATGTACCTGTAGCCCAGTCAGTGGTGTTATTCCTACTGAGATTGAAACCCAGTACACATCGCTTCAAACACCAAAGAATAAATATTTCTCTTCAACAACTTCATTATCATTATCATTATTATAAATATGACTGTACAGCTTGATAATGAAGTTGTTCAAAAGAAATATTTATTCTTCGCTGAAATATATCGTCTTGTTCTTTTTGTTTTACATAGATAAATGATTGAATTATTTTCTGGATACTAGGTAAAACCGTTATTTCTGTTGATACCAAAGTTTATCTAATGTCATAATATCATACAATTCTTTCTCTTGATAAAATTTAAATAGAGCGATAACAGCAGCTGCAGCAAAAATAGCATGAATCCATTTCATTTCACAATTTTCTATCAGTTGCTTACAACTTAAAACGATTTTAACATCATATTACGTAAGTGTTAGCATATTTGAATCAGTTTGATAGAAAATTGCGGACTTTTAATGAAAGATAACATCAATATGAAGTAAATGGAAACACATGAATTGAGTGAATAAATATGATGGTAAGATTAATTATACTCTACCGAACAAATTGCTCACTGAAATAATCAAGGTTAACAAGTCCCCTCTTCATGTTACCTCCAACTAAATCTGCTAATCCACATGTACGTGCAAAAGCATATACATTGAATGAATAGAAAGAATGGTTTGTGATTAGATATAGTCTGAGTATATTGCATGGAATTTGCCGCTGTCTAGTGGAAAAGTTCTAAACACCACTGTTCCTCGTCATCTTGTTGATAGTGAAAATGAATTCGAGATTCAGAAATCATTCAAAATAATTAATAAACAGACGAATTCGAATTTTATGCAATTCTTCTGTTTCAAGAATTTAATTCAAGCGAGAAGAACCTAGGACGCACATTTCGTCCTGCTTGGGGCTCGTCAGCCGGATGTACCTGCAGCCCAGTGATATTATTCCTACTGAGACTGGAACCTCGTACCCATCGCTTCAAACGCCAAGGCATTATCCACTATGCCACAGAGGAACGATAGTCACTTCTTGTACAACGAGTTAGTATTTATTACTAGTTATTGATATACTTGTAATTTTCCGTTGTTTTATTGGATTGAATTGTTCAACATCTGTTGGCATATGGGCTCCTATGCGGATGCCTCGATATTGCCTGAATGTTAATTATGATAATTTGGTTGGTTAGAGGTCGAACAATTCTATCCAACAAAACAACAGAGAATCACAAGTGTTTTTGAGGGAGTTGTGGAGATTTGGAGATATTTCAAGTTGTTTTTCATCGTAGACTGACATCAGTTGGAGGAAAAAAGGAAACCTGGGAGCACTGGATGCGCACTACTGAGGAGTTCCATACTAGGACGAAACAGCTGTCCAGTGCTCCCAGGTTTCCTTTTTTCCTCCAACTGATGTCAGTCTACGATGAATAACAACTTGAAATAACAAGTGTTTCAATAAATAGGAATAACTATCACACGATGTACAAGAAGTGGCTGTCGTTCCTCTGTGGCAAAGTGAATAACGCCTTGGCGTTTGAAACTATGGGTACGAGGTTCGAGTCTCAGTGGGAACAACATTACTCGACACTGGGTTGAAGGTACATCCAGCTGACGAGTCCTAAATAGGGCGAGACGTGAGTCCTGGTTCTTCTGCTAGCCACAACCAACCAAGTTATCATAATTAACATTCAGGCAATATCGAGGCATCCGCATAGGAGCCCATATACCAATATACGTCGAACAATTCGATAGAACAAAACAACGGAGAATAACAAGTATGTCAATAAATAGGAAGAAGAACAATAGTAGCAGAATTAGCAAGCGTGCATTCCATTAATTCTCTTCATCTGCTTTACAACCTATTTAATATCATATTTATGATAAACAGTATGTTATGCTTTAATAAATACTCAAAGGTTAACTATTTATACATTGATAGAATGAACTTTCAAGAGGAAATAGGAAAAGAATTTATGAATATAAATACATATAAATGGGAGGAGGTTATGTATAATGTTATTCTAGAATTAGTAAAACCACGTCATGGTTAAGACAGTAAAAGATCAAAAGATGTTCATTATGTTGAAAAATAAGATGAATACAACTCACAGTCAGAGTACGTTTTAAAAGCGCAAAAATACTAAGGGCCAAAAGGTCACCAGGGTAATGCAAGATTCACAACAGTATCTTTCAGAAGACATAGATCAGATTTGAGTTTTTTTTTAATTGTAGCTGTTTCAGCAAACCGTAAAAGAGTGGATTTTCGTTTATTGATCATTTTGAATGATGTAATACGTCGACTTTATGTCAAGTATCAAGCAAATGCTGGACAACTACATTACTTGAACCCTATGGACCCATTAGACTCAGTTTTTTCCGAATATGTGGACAAGTATCCTTCTGTCTGTTCTTCCGATGTATGTGCTTTGGCACATATATGTGAATTGGTAGAAACAGTTGACGTTAACAAGAGATGGAAACTTGTCCACTTTAGACTGTTTCGTCTGATATACACAAACTTGGCGGTTGAATAGGTGATTTTTTCTTGCAGCACTTAGTCTACTACTCATCCTTGAAGGCAAGGTGTAGATAGACGAGCTTCTTGTCAAGTCTACTGAACTTAATTCATTACTCTTCTATCCCAGTGTACTTGTCAATGAACTTTTGTAGGTGACCATTTTCGTGTAGACAGTTTTCAACAAAGTTCAGTTCTTCCTCAATATTTTCTTCAGAGCACAGTTTACGCATACAGTTGAAAAGTGTTCTTACCAGACATTTTCTGAAACTGATTAGGTGAACTTTACTTGGTTATAGCCAGCAGAGGAATTCATGGCACGCATATGCTAACAGAGGTCGAACAATTCGATCCAGTATAACAAAGGACAATCATAAGCATATCAATAAATAGTAATGATTATTTACTTTATTCTAATTCTTTGTATCTCACTGAAGTGTTAACCACTAAACAATTAAAACCAAACTTATATGTTCAGAAAAAAATTTCATCAGTCTGCGCTTACCAAAGTAATCACTCCTCTTTTGCTGACAATCAGTGTACTTCCCTGTTTGGGACTCACTGGTCAGCTGGATGTACCTGCCTCCCAGCGAGTGATGTTGTCCTCACCGGGATTCGGACTTGGGAGCGATCGCTTCAAACGTGACTTCAAATCCTGATAGGAACAACATCACTCACTGATTGGGAGGCAGGTACATCCAGCTGACCAATGAGTCCCAAATAGGACGAAATGCCCATCCTGGATTCCACTGCTAGCCATTGCCCATCATTACAATACATTATTGGAACACAAGCAATATCGAGGCATCTGCACAGGAGCCTATATTCCAACAGAGACTGATCAATTCGGTCCAATCAACGACGGTATAATACAAGCAAAAACACTAGTCAATGAACTTCATACAAGTTTTTTATGATTTATTATTTTACATTACACAACCTTGACCTGATTGTCTGAATTCTAATGAAATTAGCTCTTATATAAATGACAGATATTGGATAGCAGTGGAATCCAGGAAGTGCGTTTCATCTTATTCACAAGTCGTCAGTTGGATTGCACTACTAGCCACTATCCACCATAAGTAGTATATAGCTCAAACACGAACAATATAGAGGTATACTTGCAGGAGACCGTATACCAATATAAATCGATCAATTCGATCCATTCAACGACAAGAAAATACAAGCAGCAACATTAAAAATATTAACTATCTGTTAACATAAATCTTTTAACCTTCTTTCACATATTTCGTGTAAGCGTTCTAAACATGTTCAATACAATTTTCTACCCCACTTAGCCAACTTACGCTCTGGAACATTCATCTAATCCATATATATATATATATATATATATATATATATATATATATATATATATATATATATATATATATATATTAGTCTCTTGGGTTCCTAGTGAAACATACAGATTCAGCAGCACATCTCCATTCCACTCTCTTCTCTTCAATCTTTTCAACCTGGCTCCACGACAGCCCAGAAGCTCTCATTTCCTCCTCACGCCATCTCCTGCATGTCACCCTCACCTCGGACACACAACTCGTCGCTTCCTATGGAGGTCCCACTCGAGGGCCTGACACGTGATGTCCCCAGTCGGCCTTCTCAGTGTATGCCCAATCCATCTCCACTTCCTCCCAGTGCATATTTGTTCTGCGATAGCTTCTTGCTCCGTTGGTTCGTTCCCATAGCTCCTTGTTGCTTATTCTTTCTGGCCATCTGAGCTTCAGTACCGAGTGAGCGTAAGCGGCAGTTGTTGATGAATGTCTGTAAATTGTTGGAAATCCCTTTCGTAACGCGCCAAGTCTTTGAACCATACAGAAACACTGACTTGACTGGGTTGGTGTTGAAAATCCGGATCTTGTTCCACATGGTGAGTGCAGAAGATCTCCACACTGGTTTCAGGCTAATGAACGTCTGTCTTGCTTTTCCGATTCCTTGACATCCAAGTGCGTGCCGCCGCCTGTATTTGAAACAGTGCTGCCTAGATAGGTGAAGGAGGCTACTTCCTTTAAGTTTCTCCCGTTCATAGCGATTGGAGCTTTCTGTTGTTGTTGGTGGTCTTGTTGGTTGGGTATCTTCATCACCTCTGTATTCTCTATATTCACTTGAAGTACCTTCTTCGCTGCCCTGCCTCTTCTGACAACTTGTTAGTTCTTGACTGTAGATCTTCAAGTTTATGTGACGTCAGGCACAAGTCATCGGCGAAATCCAGATCTTCTAGGTTCTTTTCAGCAGTCCAGCCAGTGTATCCCCCTCTTCTCGCTCCCCACTGTTTGTTGCATGATCCAGTCCAGTCGACCACAATCAGGAATATCATGGGGGATAGTAGGCAAACTTGTTTCACTCCTACCTGTCTTCACTTCACTTCAGAGGCATCACTGAGCTTCCCATTGTGAATTACTTGGCATGTGGAGTCTTCATATAGTTGTTGAATGAGATTGATAAAGGTTTGTGGTATTTCGTAGTATTGAAGCAGCTTCCAAATTACCTCTCGGTCGACGCTGTCAAAGGCCTTCTCAAAGTCGACAAAGTTGAGGTAGAGGGTTGAGTTGATTGCCATTCTATACTCTGTTCTATGATGATGCGAAGCGTTACAATTTGGTCGGCACATGATTTGCATGTCCTGAATCCAGCCAGCCAGTCAGCCTGTTCCGGTCGTAGTTTTGAATCCAGTGCATCTTTAAGCCTCTCCAGGATGATGGGGCTTAATATTTTGCTTGGGGTGGACAGGAGAGTGATTCCGCGTCAGTTCGTGCAAACGCTAAGGTCTCCCTTCTTCGGCAGTTTGACAAGGTAACCCTTCTTCTAATCAATGGCCAGGTACCTTCTCTTCCTTCCACACCTTCTGCAATAGTGGTGTGAGCATATCCGCTGTTGTCTCTGCGTCTGTTCTCAGTGCTTCTGGCGGGATCCCATATAGTCCTGCTGCTTTCCCGCATTTTAGTAGCTTTATGGCGCTCAGGACTAACGTTTTTGTTGGAGGATTTATGTTCACTTGTAGTTCAGCGGTTGTAGGTGGTATTTCTGGACGAAGTGCAGGTGGTGGTCGATTCAAGAGCTTTTTGAAGTGGTCGGCCCATCGTTTCCTCTGTTTCTCTTCTTTGTAATTAAATTTCCTTCATCATCTTTTATTGGTTTCATCTGTGTTGGTCTCTTCCCTGATAGCAACCTGGTTATTTGATACAATGTCGTCAGGTCTCTCTTACCTGCAGCCTGTTCTGCTTCACTTGCCAGTGTGTCGTAGAAGTGTCTTTTGTCTTTGCGTGCACTCTTCTTCACTTCTTTGTCCAGTGTTTATACATTGTGCTCAGTTCATCTTGTCGTGAGCATCCTTGCACTGGTTTATCTTCTGCTTCACCATCCTCCTCTCCTCTATCAGCTTCCATGTATCCGTCGAGATCCATTCCTTGTCTTCTTTCTTCCTCCCTCCTAATACGGCTGTGCAGGTTTCTTTCCACATCTCTTGCAAAGACTTCCAGTGTTCTTCCACACAGGTTTCTTCAGGGATGTTCCTCGATATCTCCCATTTTGTCTTCATGGCTGGCTGCAGTGAAGATTTCCTTTGTAGTTTCATCCTTCAGTCTCCGAGTGTTGTACTTGAACTGCAGTCTATCACCAGCTTCCTTGAAGGCTTTTAACTTGATTTAGAAGGTTCCTTGCACTAGATGGTGAGTGGTCTGAACCTATATCTGCTACCCTTCTTGACCTTGTGTCAAGTAGGCTGCGTCTCCACTTTGTTGAGATTGAGATAAAGTCTATCTGATTTTTAGTGTGTCCATCTGGTGAAATGGAATCCATGTCGCTTTGTGAATATCCTTGTGCTTGAACACAGTGCCTGACTCCAATCACCAAATCGTTGAATGCACAGAATTCTGCAAACAGTTCTCCATTCTCGTTCATCACCTCACCTAGTGCCTCTCGACCCATGGTTAGTTCTCTTTCTGTGTTGTGTACCCTCAGTTTGGCATTCATGTCGCCCATCAGAATTTTGATATCGCCTACTGACGTCTTGTCCAGTGTTGATTGAAGTTGTCTGTAGAATTCCTCCTTTTTCTCTTGCTCTGCATTATTTGTAGGTGCATAGCATTTTATGATTGTGACCTTCCTTCCTTTCGAGTTGAACGTTGCTGTCATGATCCTGGAGGAGACTGGTCCCCATTGCATGAGATCCTTCGATGCTGTTGGGGACATCATGATAGCCACTCCATAACTCAGTGTGCTCGTGGTTGTCGTCTAGGTGACAATATCGGGGTAGATTATTGATTCTCCAATTGACAGTTTGGACAGTCCACTCCCATTCCATCTGCTTTCGCAAATTCCAAGCACTTCAGTGTGATACCTCTTCATCTCGTTTGCAATCTGGGCTGCCTTGCTGGGTTCAAACATCGTGCGGACATTCCATGTCCCCACGTCTACTTTCGCTTTCATCGAGAGAAGCGGAGACACATCGGCCAATTGGCTTCCCGAAGGCTTTCACCAACAGGCGTCATTTCGCCTCTCCGATTCCAGCGAGGAATAATTTTGTTATTATTTTTTATATTTCGTTTGTGCTGTGAAGTTTCTTTAGCGGTTAGATTTGTTTTACGGGGTAGGGTTGCTAGCCCTATGCCCAACCTTCCCTCTTTACCCGGGCTTAGGACCGGCTAGTAACTAGTAAACTAGTTAACCAGGTGAGGTTATATATATATATATATATATATATATATATATATATATATATATATATATATATATATATATATATAAATCGAACTAAAGACATTAGCCTTGTAAGTACAATATAATTGGTTTACTTTGAAGGCAAGAAAGTATGTTGGGCATAACATTGATTATAGATTTGCATAAATTAATTTATATTGGGTGACTATACTTATGAAATGAAAAACTGATATTGTCAGAGTTATCCTAAAATTTTTATTACAACTGCTACTTTTCTTACAGTCAGTAGTATGTATATCTCTGAATATAACAAAGTTTATGACGACAGTTTTTGGCTTATTTTAAAAAAATTATTATTTGTCCCTCGGGTTCCTAGTGGAACATCGGACTTCAGTAACGCGTCACCATTTCACTCTATTTTCTCCAGTCTGTCTCCACCTAGCTCCACGACTGTCCACAAGGTTTCATTTCTTCCTCACACCATCTCCCTCATGTAACCCTCTCCTCGGATGCCCATCTCGTCGTTTCGCCTTTGGGTTGCACTCAAGGACCTGACCTGAAGCATGATATCCCCAATCGGTGTTCTCAGTGTATGCCCAATCCAATCCATCTCTACTTTCTTCTTCTGTATATTTGTTGAGTGAAGGGTTCTTGCTCCGTTAGTTGGTTATTTGCCCGGCCAGATTTGCTTGCTGCTTATTATAATTACAATTAGTCATTGTTAATTTACTGGCCAGATTCACTGACTATAACCTAGAAACAGGGATCACTGTTTGTTCATATTACTGTAGTATAGATCAACAAAAGCAGGTTTGCTCTAATCATTCACTCTTTTAGATAAGAAAGAGATGAAGGTTGATCTGAATAAAACCTGATATCAGTAGCTGAAGTCTGTGGCTCTTAATCTGAATTGTACAACGAAATGTTGGCTTCCAATTTGACATTTGGGTGAAAGCCGAGCCTAAGGGTTGAAGACCAGCGGTCACTTGGTTAAGAATCTACCTCGGTGACACAGATCCACACACATCCTAATCGTCAGATCATGTTTCTTTATTGTTTTTCTCTATCTATCCATCTTCTTCTGACTCTACGACTTTTAACTAAATTCTCATTCTGTATTTATCTATCTTTCATGTTGTCTCCCTTTACCTTGACTTACTGATGTAGGACATGGCGTATTGCGCCCTGTTACGTAGTAATCCTAAATTTTATGTTGATAATGAAATTTACAAATTTGTCATAAATTTATTCAGCTTATTTTTATGATAAAAATATGGCTATGCACAAACTGGTTATCATGTTGTGAATAACTTTTAGCTTTCATGGTTATCCTCTTCAGAAATAAATAAAACTGGGAGAAGTGAAATCAATAACTTTGAATTACCAGTATATGCTCATTATAAGAACAATTTAATATTACTTCAATGTAGATTTTCATTACGAATTACTTCCAGACAAATTCTTTTGAATGTGTTAAACCAATTACTTATCGTGATTCCCCGTTATTTTACTGTATTGAATTGTTCGACCTCTGTTGGCATATGGGCTCCTATGTGGGAACGCCTTGATATTGCGTAAATGTTAATTAAGGTAATTTATTTGGTTGTGGTTAACAGAAGAGTCCAGGACACATGTTTCAGTGAGGAGAACATCACTCACTGAGGTGCAGGTACATCCAGCTGATGAGTCCTAGGTAGGACGAAACCCACATCCTAGATTCTTCTACTAGCCACAACCAAACGAATTTCATATATTAAATTATTTTTGATAATAATCATTAAAAGTTTATCATTCTTATTATTCTTCTCTTCAAAGGATTTAGGCTGTCTAATGATTTCACAAGCACTGGCCTCACCATGCTTTTCATCTGAAACTACTAATTCCAATAAAAAAGGTGGATTAATTCGACTATTTTTATCACAAAATAGGATAACAGCTACAAGTATGAATGAGTTGTCAACTGGACTAACACAATGTACACGCTTAACTACACTGAAGTTATCCGGTAATTTAGAAATTGGATCTACTGGCTTACTTGCTCTGAATCTGGTCTCATTAATTGCTCTTGTTTAAAACGTTTAGGTATTGCTTTCTGTGGAATTGATTACCAGGGTATTTTATATCTATCAGAAGTGTTAACAAAACAGAATCACGTTTTACACTGATTGATTTGACAGGGAATTCAATTGGAATGGAAGGATATTCTGTTATCAGTAATTATTCAACATATTTAAATGGAAAACTTAGAATAAAAGGTCTAAGTAAGTTAATTTATGAATAAAAATGTATATTTCCTTTTTATTTTAGACGAAATACAAATATCTCCTGTAATACACCATATGACAGAATCCTATGAGAAAAATAATACTGTTAGTTTACGTCACCATAGTGTAAGTAACTGCATCTATTTCTTGTCATTTATTTGATTTTTATTCACTAAAAAAAAAGAGGATTTCCTGTATTTCACTAAAATATTTCCATCGTAGACAGTCTAAATATTTAGATATAAATGCTTCAGAATCATGGTTGTGATGAAGCATGAAAACTATATTTCCAAAAATAGGATCAACGTCGAGGAACCCATTTTGCTTTGTTATTAATGTTTCTCATGTTTACTTAGTCCTTCCTACATAAAAAGCTATTTCAGATATACTAGTAGAACAATTGAAAGGTGTACTGACTAATATGTAACTTCCTCTTTTGAAAGTTCAATCACAACAACTAATCATCATAATAACTAATTGAGTTCCTCTAAATTATCTAAATGAGATTTGACTTTATCTACTACAAAGGAATAGAGCTGTATCATTTTGCTCAAATAATTTATGTTTTTACCTTTCTAAATGTAATTCTACGTGCTTTACCTCTTTTTAATTTTCAACCTCCTTTTATTCCTCGTTTCTTTATTCACCTGTTATACCATGGAGATAGTCCCATCACAAGAAAAATTTAATAAATGACAATTCAAAGAAGAGAATTTCCTTTCCAATGAATCACTTTTCAAAAGCTTAAAGTAGTAATTAAGAATACAATAAAATATATGTCAACCAATAGTTAGTGAACCTCGCCTGGTTAAAGACAGAAGGTTAGCCATAGGACTAGTAACCGTACTCCGTAAAACAAATCGAATCGCTAAAGAAACTTCAAAGCACAGACAAAATATAAAAATAAAAGCAAACTTATTCCTCGTTGGAATCGGAGAGGCGAAATGACGCCTGTTGGTGAAAGCCTTTGAGAAGCCAATTGGCCGATGTGTCTTTTCTCGATGAAAGCGAAAATAAACGTGGGGACATGGAACGTCCATACCATGTATGAACTTAGCAAGGCTGCCTAGATTATCAAGAAAAAATGGGAGACATCCTTGAAGAAACCTGTGTGGAAGTTCACTGGAACTCTTTGAAAGAGGTGTGGAAGGAAACCTGCTTAACTATGTTAAGAAGGAAGAAAAAGCACGACAAGGATTGGATCTCCACGGATACATGGAGGTTGATAGAGCTAGGAGAGGAAGATAGTGAAGGGGAAGATAAACCAGTGCAGTGTAGTGATGAACAGCGAAAAGAGGAACTGAGTACAACCAGTAAAACACTACACTGAACAAAGGAGTGCAGAGGAGTTCACGTAATGACAAAAGCCACTTCTACGACACATTGGCAAGTGAAGCAAAATAAGCTGCAAGTAGGAGAGACCTGATACCATTATATCAAATAACCAGGTTACTACCTGGAATGGGAGAGATCAACAAGGAATGAAACCAGAGAAAGATAGTGAAGGAAACTCAGTTAGCAAATAGAAGAAATAAAGGAAACGATGGGCTGACCACTTCAAAAAACTCTTGAATCGACGACTACCACCACCCGCCACTTGTCCAGAAATATCACCAGCAGCCCAGCCACAGTATTATCAGTGAAAACAAACGTTCCGACAAAAGTAGGAGTGAAATCCTGAACGCCATAAATTTGCTGAAAGCCAGGAAAGCAGCAGGACCAGATGGAATTCCTTCAGAAGCACTTAAAACAAATTCAGACACATCAGCAGACACGCTCACATCAATATTGTAAACGTTTTGGAAGGATGGAAGGAAATGTACCTTGTCAAACTCCTGACCACTCCAAGCAAAATATTAAGCCTTATCATCCTGGAGAGACTAAACAATGCTCCAGAACAGGCTGCCTGAATTCAGGAAAAACTAATCATGTGCGGATCAAATTACAACGCTTCGCTACGCATTATCATAGAACAGAACATAGAATGGTGGTCAACTCTTTAAGTCAACTTCATCGATTTTGGTAAGGCCTTCAATAGCAACGATCAAGAAGTAATTTGGTGGTCGTATTTTCCATTAGTAACCCAAGGGATAAATAAAATATGTGCATATAAATTCGTTGAAAAAACTCCTCTCCGCTGAAGATCTTGTTTTCCGTGTCATCGTGGAGGATATTCATTTATTTTTTTTTTATTGCAAACATTCGATGATGACTGAGGAACTTAACGGATTTCTAAGTTACTCCATCAAACTTACCTTAGTTAAGTCGGAGAGATCTTATAATTTGAATAAAAATTTTGTTTAATGATTTGGCAATTTCTATGCTTAGAACATGATAGTAATTAGTGAAAGTTTGTTAAAGTTAGACATGCTTATGCGTTTTGTAAGTGTATAATTACTTTCTATTGGAGTCATTTAGTGAATCATAGGGTTCTTTTGTTTTTAGTATAAGGTAACTATTAAAATCTTATCTCCCAGTTGTTATTTAGTTAAACCATGATCTTTAACCAATACAATTATGATACACTTTATTAAATCTCATATTTGTGATCTTACCATTAATTAACATGAATTAATTTACAATTCCGGTTGATTTGAGAGTTATAACCAATGAAAAATTTCATTATTTTCTTTTATATAACAGTTTCTGTGTGATTAACTTGATTTCATTTCTACAAAGCGTGTACTGATGTTCTCAATAGTTATTATTTAGTTAATGATGGATTGTAGCTAGCAGTGGAATCCAGGATGGGCATTTCCTCCCATACGGGACTCATCAGCTGGGTGTACCTGTTTCCCAGTGAGTGATGTTGTTCCCACCGGGATTAGGACTCAGGAGCGATCGCTTCCAATGCCAGCGCGTTATCCACTAAAAACTATATCCGTCGCACAAGAAGTAGCTATCGTGGCTTGGTGGTGTAGTGGATAACGCTCTGGCGTTTGAAGTGATCGCTCCGAGTCCGAATCCCGGTGGGAACAACATCACTCACTGATTGGGAGGCAGGTACATCCAGCTGACGAGTCCCAAATAGGATGAAATGCTCATCCTGGATTCCACTGCTAGTCACGATCCATTATTAACATAAATAGAACGCTGGAAATATCGACGCATATGCACAGAAGCCCATATGCCAATAGAGACTGATCAATTTGGTCCAATCAAAGACGGTATTATATAAAACAATTATACTAAAGTTATTATTTAGTATTTATTTTTCTCTTGGGTTCCTGGTGGAACACAAGGCTTCAGTACCACGCCTCCATTGCACTCTCTTCTCCGCAGTCTTTTAAACCTCACTCTACGACTGCTCACAAGCTTTCATTTCTTCCTCACATGTTCTCCTTCATGTCACCCTCGCCTCAAACGCCCAACTTGTCGTTTTCCCTTTGAATTCCACTCGAGGGCCTGGCGCTTGATGTCCTCAATCGGCCTTCTTAGTGTATGCCCAATCCATCTCCATTTTCCTCTACTGCATATTTGTTGGGTGGTAGGTTCTTGGTTGATTCGTTCCAGAGTTTCTTGTTGCTTATTCTTTCTCAATAGTTACCAGTATAATTTACCCACTTGATTTGTTATTCTTCCTCATATTGCGTATTCCCTATCAATTTTATTCACGTTTGATAACTGATGTTTTACATGTTTAGTTTCTTGTCCAAAAACTTGGTTTAATCATTCATCCATAAATTATAGTGCCTAATTCATTTCAAATATATTCCTTTCATTTATTTATTTTTTAATTATTTATTGTACAAATATTAGATTCCTTCAAAAATTCACCAATATGATCTTCATTCAGTTCGTTATCGCAAACATTCACTTGTCAGTAACCTGAAAAATACTCATAGAAATTCAATTAAATCTTCTGATTGTGTGAAACGTAAATCTCCTTCATTTCCTGAATTATTTTATCTGACTAAATTAGATCCAGAATGTGATCCTCGTTATTTATGGGGTGATAGTTCTGATGATGATGATGATGATGATGATGATGATGATGATGATAAAATTATTGATTCTGTAAATAATGACAACAATGAGCCTATTTCTTCAATTGACGGAATTGATAAAGTTAACTTTCAAGTACAGATTGATGAACAAGGGAACAAAAGGAAGTTAATAAGCATAATTCTATTCAGTAAGTCCTTTCTTTTTAATTATTTCACTGTATAATGTATACTGTATGCTGATATTTGTCTTCATTCATGATGTGTAGCCAGAAGTTAGTGAAATTGACTATTCACTGACGATGTGTACAACATCATTAGTGTAAATTTCTCTACCTGACTGTTATCAATTTTGACTTTGACCCTGTTATTCATAATTATCTCTTATTAGATAGTTGACTACACTTGACTATAAATCATTTTGTCATCCATTTTTTTTCATTGTCATTTTATTCAATTAATTTTTTAATTATTGATTTCATTAACTACCCTAGTATATTATTATTATTATTTTTTCTTTAATTAATGAAATTATTAAGCTATTCATTTTACTAACAGTCAAACAAATCCTTCCTTATAGATGAACGTAATTACTTATCATTTCATAAGAATTTGTGATCATAGATGAGCTAATGATGACAATCACAAGTATTTCTCTCTTCTTTTTTAATAATATACTGAAATGATAATGCTTACAACTAGTAACCTCATGTAGTACGAAAATGTTTTACCCCCAAAAAACAAAATGGCGAATGTAATTTTTCATTACCTTGTCTGTCAATATTGCTTTATGGCAGTGTTTTAAAATTCTCATGGTGATAAGTTTTACTTTGCATTTTTTTTATCAGACTTTATTCAATAAAGTAATATGAACGCGTATTAGCCAATGTACTGAATATGACCTGTTGTACTGATATTCAACTATTTTTATCCTATACGTGTAGAATAATAATACTTCTGATGTTCCATTCTTATATTTGGTTATGACCAAGTAGTTAACATACTTTATTTGAAATAATTAGTCTGGTGTTTGAAGCGGTCACTCCTGAGTCCGAGTCCTAGTGGGAACAACACCACTCACTGATTGAGAGGCAGGTATATCCAGCTGACGAGTCCCAAATAGGATGAAGTACGCATCCTGGATTCCGCTGCTAGCCACTGCCCGTCATTGCTACACATAATTAGTCCCTTTATTACTATTGATCGACATACTTGTTATTCTCCGTTGTTTTGTTCGATGGAATTGTTCAACCTCTATTGGCCTATCGGCTCTTATGCGGATGCCTCGAGTCCTAAATAGGACGAAAAGCATGTCCTAGATTCTTCTGCTAGCCACAACCAATCAAATTATCATAATTTGTCCCTTTAATAAATTTCGATAATGCTATTAGTAGACGAAGATGATCTGAACAACATGTGATGCGTATTTGTGCAATACACGTTTCGAACAATCCGATCCCCCACACATTTACTTGTCTCAAGTCAATTTATGCATGAAAATGAAAGGTGAAATATAATGAATATGAAAAGGTTGTGACACTTGTCTCGGTAATATAATCAGATAAGGATTAGCAAGGTAAATTAAGTGAGATAACAAATTGTTTTTTGTAAGCACAACGTGGGCCTAAGTTTACGAATGGCAAACGCTTCGACAAATTTCATATGTGGCCTTATCTATTCCTATATAAGATACTCAAGGTTTGGATAATGTAATTAGTAGACGTAGATTATCTGAACAATATGTGATGTAGTTTGCACTATACATTTCGAACAATCTGATCACACATTTACTTGTTATGGCATTATATATGAAAACTGAAAGTGGGGGAAGGACAAATATGATATAGAGGAATACAATAATAAGAGAGATAATGAAAGGAAAAAAGATAAAATTTGAGGACAACCTTGGTTATACGATAAAATGAGCATTACTAAGGTAGGCTTAATGTAACGATAAACTGTTTTTGCACACACAAAGGAGGGCTAAATTTGTTTATGGCTAGTGCCTCAACAAACTTAAGTATACGCCCCTGACAGTTTCTATACAAAGTTGTAAAGGCTGTTTTAATACCAATCCTGTGATTCTTATCAATATGTTTTGCTATGGATCATGATGGTTGTCTGCCATCTGCGCTTATCAATGTTTGTGAACCTAGCTCCTTTCGTAGCCATTTTGGAACAAATTCCCCTACCCTCAAGTGCATATCATGATTAGTCCTCCCTATGTATGTTTGTCTACACACACATGTAAATTAATAAACACTGTAGGATGTGACGCAGTCGTTTATACAGTGCCGAGGTCTATGTTGGAACAGGTGTTTGGTCTTCTCAACTATGATAAGCTTAGGTGCATAGTACGTTTGGCTAACAGCAGACCTTAACCTTCGTTTCAATATTATGCTGTTACATTCTTCTCTGCATGGTAACGCGATGTAAACGCATTTCTTCGAAATAGAGTACAGATTAGGTTTGAATGCAGGCTGATTTTTGCAGCGGTTTATGAACTTCAATGGATTTGCATTTTCCACTAATATACCCTTAGTATTTTGATATCATTATCCATTGAGTCTTTCGTACAAATACGCTGGATCCTTTTAAATAGGCAAGTTACCAAACCTCGCTTGTATTGGGTTGGACAAAAGCTATGGAAAGTTAAATACTGACCTGTTCAAGTAGGTTTCCTGTAGATCGACCGTTTTTAATGAACCGTCATTTCTACGACCTGGGAGTATATCCAAGAATGGCAGACGGTTTTCTTTCTCTTGTTCATATGTTAGGCTTATGTTGTTTTGTACGTTGTTAAGTCTTTCTAACAAACATGTCGCATCTTCATGCTTATCACATATCACGATTATATCATCGACATACCTTTTATAGAGAGTAACTTTATTGATGAGATCACCGGCCAAGCCTTCAATGTGTGACATGTAAATATCAGCTAGGAATGGTCCTAAGAGACTTCCTATAGCTACACCATCTATTTGTCGAAAATGTTCACCTTCAAATGTGAAATGAACTTTATCAGTACACAATAATAACAGCTCTCTCAAACACGTTGAGGGGATAGGGAAAGAAGGATTACTGGAAGATATATGATCATAAAGAATGTCAATGGTTTCAATTAGGGGTACAGTAATAAATAAAGAGTTGACATCAAATGAATACAGCTTCTTATCATTGATATTAATATCACTAACATAATCAACAAGTTCAAAAGTATCTTTTAAATAAAAACTTGCATAATTCATTTCGAATAGGAACTAAAGTTTTTGCTAACCATTTCGCTATTTTATGTGTAGGTGAACGGAGTATGTGTGATCAGATTGTTCGAAATGTATAGCGCTAATACATCACATATTGTTCAGATAATCTACGTCTTCTAATTACATTATCCAAATTCATAAAAGGGACGAATTATTTCAAAATACTTAAGGTTGTTTTTGTATTTACCTTGTGATTCATTTTGATGATATGTCTGGCTATAGATGACGATGGATGTCTATCACCTTCACTTATGAATGCTTATATGTTAAATTACTTTTCAAGACATTTATTTATGTGTTCACCCACCCTAATTTGCATTGAACAATTACCCCTCCCTATGTATATGTAACCACAGATATATGTAAGTTGGTAAACATAATGGGATATCAGAGTTTTAAAAATTTGCATCGTGTCAATTAGAACAAGACATATAGGCGAACAATATTATTTTCAACTAGATCCTCTTCAGGCTTTACTCTAATACAAATGGCCTAATATATATATATATATATATATATATATATATATATATATATATATATATATATATATATATATGCCGAACTGGAAATCGCTTAAAAACCATAGTGTAAAATAATGCATAGGTAAAGCATTCGACAAAGAAAACAATATTTGTAATAGTGGAGAATATTTGTAGCTCAGGTGGATGGTCTTGGTTGACATTGACTTCATCTTGTCCAATTTGTCTAATACCATTACATAATACTTTATTGATTTACCATTTTCAACAATTTTTTTTCATCCCCTTCTGAGTTATGTACTCTCTATGTACCATTCCATATATTACACAACCTATTTGTTATCATTCGCACTTCATTTGTTATTATAATCATAAATGCCTATGTCATCATCCGCTCTATTATTATTGTCATCACCGTATAGTGTTTAGTTTTCCCCACGGGATATAATTTTTTCAAATATCATATATATACGATTGTACAGCTTGAAGATAAATTCGTTGAAAAGAGTCTCTTCGCTGAATATCTTGTTCTCGATGTCACAATGGGAATTGTTAAATTCTTACGTTTCTGTCGTTTATCATTTCTCTCATTGCTTGATAGATTGGGTCTATACATCCATACATCTATTCATTGCTGACTGATTGACTGACGTGAATGCCAAGCTTCTAGAAATTCTCTGATATTCTTTGCATTTCCTCTCTCCTCCCATAAGATTTCTACATTGTCGAAATTCAATTCATGCCCATAGTTGTTATCCACATGCACTGACACCAGTGATGAAATTTCGTGTATGACGTTTAATAGCCAATTGGTGTCCATGTAGACAAAGGCGAAGACGATGACCATTCTGTCTAATGAAGTGCTGACTATAGTTATTGCAGTTGACTTCGTAAATGATATTCGGTTTGTCTTCTTTGGTTGTTGTATCCTTTGGTCTGTATAGTAGTGTTTGTAGGGAATTTGTTGGTTTATGAACCCCTTTAATTCCAAGTGATCTCAGTAATCTTGTCGTGACTTCTGATGTCTTCTTTATAGATGGTAGGATGATGTGTTTATTGATTTTTGTCGATGACTTCGTACTTGATGATGCACGACATAGGCATCTTCTGATAAAGTTTCGTGGGTAGGAAAATCTATAAAGTCAATGACACAACAATCAAAGGAAACAACCAACCACAAACCAGTTCGTCAAGGCAAGCTACTAAATCACTTGTGGAGAGATACTGACGGCTCACTTCATACTCAAGTTAGTGGTGATGATGTCCTATAGAAAGACGAAGAAAGCTTCACGATTAAACAACCCAGTTCAGAGAACACAACGCAACCAAAACAATATTTGTATCAGGCCGGGTTTGATATTATATATATATATATATATATATATATATATATATATATATATATATATATATATATATATATATATATATATATATATATATATATATATATATATATATATATATATATATATAGTTTGAATGTTAAGTAACATTTCCAGTGATGTTTTAGCCTTAGTGACCTCACCAATTTGTTCGAAAGATAAATAAAGAAATCTGTTCATGAAGTCAACTAATTTACCTGTCGGTTTAATTATCTGAGTTAGTTGTGGTTTATCAAACTCTTTTTATTGATACTAGACGATGAGTGGAGGTAGAATGAAAACAATTCCTAGCAGAATTCGAACAAGTAGTCCTCATTTTATCGCCTCAGTGCCCTGTTAACTGGTTTATGAGACCCACTCACTGACTGCGTCCGGATACGAACCAGCAAGATTGGTTGCAAACTTGTTCAACTGTACTTCAAAGTTTACCGCTCATAATTCTAGCTGCTTTTCCTGAGATATTATCAGCGATCCATCCTTTTCTGCAATGATCTCACCGACCAACATCTTCTTGAAAGTATTCTTATTGAGCTGAAGTAGTTGTTGAGCATTACTTAATGCCTACTTCTAGCTTCTTATCATGGCTTGAACAATCTGGAAGACATTAAGGAGTTCTACTGACCGACTAACCTTTTAGCACAGGCTGTCACTTATTTTAATCCCTGTTTCTACGTCAGACAGAATATTACTCCAAGTTTGATAAACAGGAGAATTGATATTATGTTCAGATAAACGCTTGGCTAAATCCTGAAATGCACACTTCAGGTTCCCATCTCTTAGCTAGTTTTTATATCGTATGCCCATTTAGGCAGAAACAAACTCTTAACCATAATTATTT